GGGTGGGTGGTGGGGGTGGTAGTAGGGTGGGTGGCAGGGTGGGTGTTGTGGGTGGTGGTAGGCGGTGATGGGGTGGGTGGCAGGGCGGGGAAAGATCAATAAAATAATATTATAGGAAAAGTCTGCTATTATCCTCATTTCCACAGTGTGGCCACTATCAAGTAACACACACTGTGGCCACACCTCTCAAGTAACACACACTGTGGCCACCCTTTCAAGTAACAGTACACTGTGGCCACCCTCTCAAGTAACACACACTGTGGCCACCCTATCAATTAACACACAGTGGCCACCCTATCATGTAACACACAAGTGGCCACCGTACCAAGTAACACACTGTGGCTACCCTCTCAAGTAACACAAACTGTAGCCCACCTATCATGTAACACACTGTGGCCCACCTATCAAGTAACACACTGTGGCCACCCTATCAAGTAACACACACTGTGGCCACCCTCTCAAGTAACACAAACTGTGGCCACCCTATCAAGTAACACACACTGTGGCCACCCTCTCAATAACACAAACTGTGGCCACCCTATCATATAACATATACTGTGGCCACTATCAAATAACACACACTGTAGCCACCTCTCAATGTAACACACACTGTGGCCACCCTATCAAGTAACACACACTGTTTTCCCTATAAGTAACACACATTAGCCACCAGAAAAAGTATCACCTCTGGCCACTCAATAAGTAATACAATCTGACCACTCCATCAAGTAACACACTGTAGCCACCCAACAATAACACATTGGCTACCCCAATAAGTAACACCTCTAGCCACCCCAATAAGTAACACACAGTGGCCACTCTATCAAGTAACACACACTCTGACTACTCCAAGTAACACACTCTGACCACCCCATCAAACAACACACTCTGGCCTGCCCAACAAGTAACACACCCCAACAAGCAATACACTCTGGCCACCCCATCAAGTAACACACTCTGGCCAACCCAACAAGTAACACACCCCAACAAGCAAAACACTTACTCTGACCACCCATCAAGCAACATACTCTGGCCACCCCAACAAGTAACACTCTGGCCACCCCATCAAGCAACACACCCTGGCCACCCCATCAAGCAACACACCCTGGCACCCCATCAAGCAACACACCTGGCCACCCCATCCAAGTAGCACACCCCAACAAGTAACACACCCCAACAAGCAAAACACTCTGACCACCCCATCAAGCAACATACTCTGGCCACCCCAACAAGTAATCACCCCAACAAGTAACACACCCCAACAAGTAACACACCCTGGCCACCCCATCAAGTAACACACCCCGACAAATAACACACTCCATCAAACAACACACTCTGGAGGGGGAACATGATACAAGAGAGAGAATGAATGACAGTGTGTGAGAGGAGAGTGTGTTTGTTTGTACTGAGTTACTGTAACACTGTATTGTACATCAAGGGGTAAAGGGTTCTATCTATCTATCTATCTATCTATCTATCTATCTATCTATCTATCTATCTATCTATCTATCTATCTATCTATATATCTATCTATCTATCTGTCTGTCCTCGCCGTCCACACACTGTAGTCTCACCCAGTCTTCTTTCAGTACACGTTTTACCTTCACATTCAGTTTCAGTCTCATTTACAGTCCACTACAGTCTGTTTCAGTTTCATTTACAGTCCACTACAGTCTGTTTCAGTCTCATTTACAGTCCACTACAGTCTGTTTCAGTCTCATTTACAGTCCACTACAGTCTGTTTCAGTCTCATTTACAGTCCACTACAGTCTGTTTCAGTCTCATTTACAGTCCTACAGTCTGTTTCAGTCTCATTTACAGTCCACTACAGTCTGTTTCAGTCTCATTTACAGTCCACTACAGTCTGTTTCAGTCTCATTTACAGTCCACTACAGTCTGTTTCAGTCTCATTTACAGTCCACTACAGTCTGTTTCAGTTTCATTTACAGTCCACTACAGTCTGTTTCAGTCTCATTTACAGTCCACTACAGTCTGTTTCAGTCTCATTTGATCCACAGTCTGTTTCAGTCTCATTTACAGTCCACTGATCTGTTTCAGTCTCATTTACAGTCCACTACAGTCTGTTTCAGTCTCATTTACAGTCCACTACAGTCTGTTTCAGTCTCATTTACAGTCCCTACAGTCTGTTTCAGTCTCATTTACAGTCCACTACAGTCTGTTTCAGTTTCATTTACAGTCCTACAGTCTGTTTCAGTCTCATTTACAGTCCACTACAGTCTGTTTCAGTCATTTACAGTCCACTACAGTCTGTTTCAGTTTCATTTACAGTCCACTACAGTCTGTTTCAGTCTCATTTACAGTCCACTACAGTCTGTTTCAGTCTCATTTGATCCTACAGTCTGTTTCAGTCTCATTTACAGTCCACTACAGTCTGTTTCAGTCTCATTTACAGTCCACTACAGTCTGTTTCAGTCTCATTTACATCCACTACAGTCTGTTTCAGTCTCATTTACAGTCCACTACAGTCTGTTTCAGTCTCATTTACAGTCCACTACAGTCTGTTTCAGTCTCATTTACAGTCCACTACAGTCTGTTTCAGTCTCATTTACAGTCCACTACAGTCTGTTTCAGTCTCATTTACAGTCCACTACAGTCTGTTTCAGTCTCATTTACAGTCCTACAGTCTGTTTCAGTCTCATTACAGTCCTACAGTCTGTTTCAGTCTCATTACAGTCCACTACAGTCTGTTTCAGTCTCATTTACAGTCCACTACAGTCTGTTTCAGTCTCATTTACAGTCCACTACAGTCTGTTTCAGTCTCATTTACAGTCCACTACAGTCTGTTTCAGTCTCATTTACAGTCCACTACAGTCTGTTTCAGTCATTTACAGTCCACTACAGTCTGTTTCAGTCTCATTTACAGTCCACTACAGTCTTTCAGTCTCATTACAGTCCACTACAGTCTGTTTCAGTCTCATTTACAGTCCACTACAGTCTGTTTCAGTCTCATTTACAGTCCACTACAGTCTGTTTCAGTCTCATTTACAGTCCACTACAGTCTGTTTCAGTCTCATTTACAGTCCACTACAGTCTGTTTCAGTCTCATTTACAGTCCACTACAGTCTGTTTCCAGTCTCATTTACAGTCCACTACAGTCTGTTTCAGTCTCATTTACAGTCCACTACAGTCTGTTTCAGTCTCATTTACAGTCCACTACAGTCTGTTTCAGTTTCATTTACAGTCCACTACAGTCTGTTTCAGTCTCATTTACAGTCCACTACAGTCTGTTTCAGTCTCATTTACAGTCCACTACAGTCTGATTCAGTCTCATTTACAGTCCACTACAGTCTGTTTCAGTCTCATTTACAGTCCACTACAGTCTGTTTCAGTTTCATTTACAGTCCACTACAGTCTGTTTCAGTCTCATTTACAGTCCACTACAGTCTGTTTCAGTCTCATTTACAGTCCACTACAGTCTGTTTCAGTCTCATTTACAGTCCACTACAGTCTGTTTCAGTTTCATTTACAGTCCACTACAGTCTGTTTCAGTCTCATTTACAGTCCACTACAGTCTGTTTCAGTCTCATTTACAGTCCACTACAGTCTGTTTCAGTCTCATTTACAGTCCACTACAGTCTGTTTCAGTCTCATTCCCTTCATATTTACTTTCATTTCTATTTTCATTATCAGTTCCATTCAGCTTCAGCCCCTCAGCCACCCAGCCCTAGCCCACATACCCCTTCAGCCCCCTAGCCCCCCAGCCCCTCAACCACCAGCCGTAGCCCCCACATACCCCCTTGGCCCCTATTTAACCCTCAACCACCAGCCCTAGCTCCCTTTTCCCCCTTCAGCTATTTAACCCCCCAGCCCTAGCTCCCTTGCCCCTTCAGCCCCCCCAGCCCCCAGCCCTCCAGCCACCAGCTAGCTCCCTCCACCCCCCTTCAGCCGCCTAGCCCCCCAGCCCCTCAGCACAGCCCCTAGCCCCCATGCCCTTCAGCCCCCTAGCCCCCCAGCCCTCAGCCACCCAGCAGCCTAGCCCCCCACCCCTTCAGCCCCCTAGCCCCCCCCAGCCCCTCAGCCACCAGCCCCTAGCTCCCATACCCCCTTCCAGCCCCCCCCAGCCCCAACCCCTCAGCCACCCAGCCCTAGCCCCCCCCATACCCCCTTCAGCCCCTAGCCCCCAGCCCCTCCAATACCCAGCTCTGGCTCATACCCCCTTCAGCCCCCTAGCCCCAGCCCCTCGGCCACCCAGCCCTAGCTCCCATACCCCTTCAGCCCCCTGGCCCCCCCAGCCCCTCAGCCACCCAGCTCCTGGCCCCCCAGGGAGTTAATGAACAAAGTAATGTGTGTGTTGTAACATATTAAACTATTACTGGCTGTGACTAGCGTGTGTGTGTGTGTGTGTGTGTGTGTGTACTGTTGTAGTTGTGGTTATGACAGTGTGGGTTGTGGTTATGACAGTGTGGGTTGTGGTTATGACAGTGTGGGTTGTGGTTATGACAGTGTGGGTTGTAACCATGACATCGTGGGCGTCTCCTCGTGTTACCTATTATAATAATGATAAGAAGACACCGTACAGGTAATGTATTAATTATCTCCATCTTCACTATACCCCTGAGCACCAACCCTTATCGTGTATCACCATAATGTTAATATAATGAAGATGATACATTATCTTCATCACAAACACTTTACTCACTTTACAAAACACACTTTATAACTTTATCTCATTACTTAAAGGGTGTTTGGACTTTACAGTTTTGTTAATAAATTTAGGTTAGGTTAGATTAAAGTGCATCAGGTGAGGTGAAGTGTAGTTACAGAGTGAGGTTAAGTAAAGCTAAGATTTAAGTTAAGTGTTAATTTAGAGAGGTCAGGTTAAAGTGAGGTTAAGTAAGGTTAAACTAGACCAGACTCTCCGTGGAGGTAATAACCAGGTGAGTATCTGGGCGTGTAATTAAGTCACACTCAGGTGTGTGATGTTCACTTGTGTATGAGATAAATCATTGAGGTATTTTATAAGATCATTTTGACTGACGATGATATTTATTACGTCTGACACAGTGCCAGGGTCAACACAGTGCCAGGGTCAATACACTGCCAGGCTCAACACAGTGCCAGGCTCAACACAGTGCCAGGGTCAATACACTGCCAGGCTCAACACAGTGCCAGGCTCAACACAGTGCCAGGGTCAATACACTGCCAGGCTCAACACAGTGCCAGGGTCAACACAGTGCCAGGGTCAACACAGTGCCAGGGTCAACAACAGTGCCAGGCTCAACACGGTGCCAGGCTCAACACACTGCCAGGCGCTACACAGTGCCAGGCTCAACACAGTGCCAGGCTCAACACTGCCAGGGTCAACACACTGCCAGGCTCAACACAGTGCCAGGCACAGTGCCAGGCTCAACACACTGCCAGGCTCAACACAGTGCCAGGGTCAACACAGTGCCAGGGTCAACACAGTGCCAGGGTGAACACAGTGCCAGGGTCAACACAGTGCCAGGCTCAACACAGTGCCACAGTGCCAGGGTGAACACACTGCCAGGCTCAACACAGTGCCAGGCTCAGCACACTGCCAGGCTCAACACACTGCCAGGCTCAACACAGTGCCAGGCCAGCTCAGCACAGTGCCAGGCTCAACACACAGGCTTTTGCCAGGCTCAACAGGCCACAGTGCCAGGCTCAACACAGTGCCAGGCTCAACACAGTGCCAGGCTCAACACAGTGCCAGGCTCAACACACTGCCAGGCTCAACACACTGCCAGACTCAACACAGTGCCAGGGTTAACACAGTGCCAGGCCTCAACACAGTGCCAGGCTCAACACAGTGCCAGGCTCAACACAGTGCCAGGCTCAACACAGTGCCAGGCTCAACACAGTGCCAGGGTCAACACAGTGCCAGGGTCAATACACTGCCAGTCAACACAGTGCCAGGCTCAACACAGTGCCAGGCTCAACACTGCCAGGCTCAACACAGTGCCAGGGTCAACACAGTGCCAGGGTCAACACACTGCCAGGCTCAACACAGTGCCAGGGTCAACACAGTGCCAGGCTCAACACACTGCCAGGCTCAACGTGCCAGGGGTCAACACAGTGCCAGGGTCAATCACTGCCAGGCTCAACACAGTGCCAGGCTCAACACACTGCCAGGCTCAGCACAGGCTCAACACAGTGCCAGGGTCAACACACTGCCAGGGCTCAACACACTGCCAGGCTCAACACAGTGCCAGGCTCAACACAGTGCCAGGGTGAACACAGTGCCAGGGTCAATACACTGCCAGGCTCAACACACTGCCAGGCTCAACACAGTGCCAGGGTCAACACAGTGCCAGGGTCAATACACTGCCAGGCTCAACACAGTGCCAGGCTCAACACAGTGCCAGGGTCAACACAGTGCCAGGGTCAATACAGTGCCAGGCTCAACACAGTGCCAGGCTCAACGTGCCAGGCTCAACACACTGCAGGCTCAACACAGTGCCAGGCTCAACACAGTGCCAGGCTCAACACAGTGCCAGGGTCAACACAGTGCCAGGCTCAACACGGTGCAGGCTCAACACTGCCAGGCGCTACACAGTGCCAGGCTCAACACAGTGCCAGGCTCCAGCACTGCCAGGGTCAACACACTGCCAGGCTCAACACAGTGCCAGGCTCAACACAGTGCCAGGCTCAACACACTGCCAGGCTCAACACAGTGCCAGGGTCAACACAGTGCCAGGGTCAACACAGTGCCAGGGTGAACACAGTGCCAGGGTCAACACAGTGCCAGGCTCAACACAGTGCCAGGGGAGCACAGTGCCAGGGTGAACACACTGCCAGGCTCAACACAGTGCCAGGCTCACACACTGCCAGGCTCAACACACTGCCAGGCTCAACACAGTGCCAGGCTCAACACAGTGCCAGGCTCAACACAGTGCCGGGCTCAACACAGTGCCAGGCTCAACACTGCCAGGCTCACACAGTGCACACAGTGCCAGGCTCAACACAGTGCCAGGCTCAACACAGTGCCAGGCTCAGCAACACACTGCCAGGCTCAGCACACTGCCAGACTCAACACAGTGCCAGGGTTAACACAGTGCCAGGCTCAACACAGTGCCAGGCTCAGCACAGTGCAGGCTCAACACAGTGCCAGGCTCAACACAGTGCCAGGCTCAACACAGTGCCAGGCTCAACACTGATAAAGCTCAGTCCTTATAGAAGAGTCTAATAAACCTCAAACCCAGTAGACCCCAGTCCTAATAGACCCCAGTACTCATAGATCCCAGTCCTTAGCCCCCAGTACTCATAGACCCCTGACCTAATAGACCCCAGTCCTAATAGACCCCAGTACTCACAGACCCCAGTCCTAATAGACCCCAGTACTCACAGACCCCAGTCCTAATAGACCCCAGTACTCACAGACCCCAGTCCTAATAGACCCCAGAACTCATAGACCCCAGTCCTAATAGACCCCAGTACTCACAGACCCAGGCCCTTATTTAATCTTTTCATAAATATTAGACCCTAAAAGGACTGATTGGGACCCATTAGTACCGAGGC